TCTGCTTTCCAAAGTTTTACCGGTGCTTGAGAAAACTCTTTCGTCGGATAAGGATTTCCTTTAGCAGCACGGCTTTGAATTTTTTCCGGATCCGGAAGTTGTTTATCAATAAAGGTCCAATCTACCAGCAGATTCAGTCGATGGCACAGGCAAGGGTTATGTTTCTTAAAAACATTCTGCATATTGCTGGCTCCATCGGTCACTAAGGTAGCCTCTTTAACGATTGAATCCACCACAGAATTTTCAAAATAGTCCGCAAGTATTTTAATGATACTATGACGAATATTAGCTGCACTTTTGTCGTCCTCTTCGTACTCGCGGACATCAAGCAGGGCTGTTTGTTTGCTATATTCCTGATCGATAAAATGCGCCGACAAAGATACAAAATTTCGTTGCTTGTACTTGTCCAACCACATATCTGTTGTTAATGCAATGCTGGGAAATGATGGTGAATTTATGAGCTGTTCCTTAATTTCTATACGCTCGGTTGCCACTATCTTACTTAAGTTTTCCTTTTTGAGAGTCGTGCGATGTCGAATAACGTTTTTTGAATCAATCTGCCCAAATTTAGCCCCGAAGTTTATAAGGGCCTGTGCAATTCGGTGAAATCCATCGCACTCAACTGTGAACAGAGGTCGGAGATCTTTTGACAATCCTATGACAATTTCGTCATTTAATTTCTGCACATCCGAGTCCGTGTATAGTTTTCTTGTAAACTTGTTAATTAGTGGTTGATTTGGAGCAGGAGGGGTGGATTTTTCGGATCCTCCACATTCGTGGCGAAGAAGGCTACCGGTCCCTGATGAAGACTTATACACATAAATTGAATTGCACATTCGGCATTTCGCAAAATCAATTGGCTGTTGGTTTATGTGGGCTATTTCAAATTTATCCCAAACATCTGATTTTCTACCCTTCTGAATTTTTTGCTGAAATGTTAGCCAGGATTTTCCTTGAGTCAATAATTTCTCAACGTCTTCCTTCCACAATTTCTCATGATCCGGAATTTGCTCGTTGTTAATCCACGAGCCGGATGCCATCTTGAATTGGACCACAGCTGGAAAATTCATATTTCTTTGTGAGCATTAAATTTTTACAGATAGGTTTATATTTGTGCGACTTACCAAATATTGCCGAACCGCTGATGTCCGCTGAGTCTAAGATAATAGTGGGGGATAAAGTTCAATGACTGAAATAAGGCAAAAGATCTTCAGCAGGTCAAAACAGAAATAGGACGATACACGCGAAATCAAAAAATTGTTCGAAATTTGTTTACACCACACTACAAGATTAACATAAATTATTGCCGCCCGCACGACACGACACGAGGTGGTGGCACTATCAATCCCAACACGACCGACACGACACGGTTTATTTGTGGACCCGCACGACACGAAACACGATCGTGTCGTGCGTGTTCGTGTTTGCACGAAACTTTCGTTCGCACGACTCATCACTAAACTTTACCCTGAAAAAAAAATTAATTGCGAAATGGGACAAGCCAAAACCAAAATTGTATTATGCAGAACCCTATTTGCATAATTCTACGCGCATTGTTTTCTGCATAAATCACCCCATCATACAATTGTTTCGTATAAAATTATGCCAAATTTCTGCAAGAAAGCTGCCCAAACTTTTAGTTGGGAAGGCTGGTTTTAATATCATGGTGCTAAAAAATGGGCAAATGTCATTTAAAATCTGCATCCTACCGGAAGGAAGTTAACATGGGAACAAGTGTCAGCCACCAAACCTGGCAAATTTGTATATACGGAAACCATGAACTTATTCCAAGTTTAAAATTCTATGTATTTATTTAGCTAAGTTTAAACATCACTTCGGTTTTAACACGACAATGTTTATGTACGTATGAGTCTCACAAAATCCGGGTTTTTAGACATAATCCTTGCACGACCCCCTTCACACATAAAAAGATGCGTGGGTTTGCCTCGCGTCTGATGTAATCTTTTCGACATTTTGAAGTTAAACAATACCCAGTGTTATTGACACATTTATTCATTCATTCATTCATTCCTTCCCCACCCTTCATTTAGACAAGATCTGTTTTAAGAATGTCTTATCAAAGTGAATTCCTCCCCCCGTTAAAATTCCATCTGCGCCCGTGCCATTTTTTGAAATGTATCCATTTCGAGTTCTCCCCTTCTTCGGGGAGACTGGCAAAAAGGAAGTCTGTGAAATTGCTTCGTTTTAGCAATTTTCAGTCGGTTTTATCCGTTTCGTACTGTTTTGCCCTCTTTCTTAACTTATGTTTCGGGCCGATCGGAACGCGGGACAAGTTACAAGGCACCGTATTCTTGTTGCTCATCTTGGTCGCCACGGTGGCCAGGTGGAATCAGGGGTTACGTAATAACGGGGCTATTCAGGCGATCAATTCCTTCTTGCATTTTGAGGATTGGATGTTCAGAGGTATGTATTTTTTATGAAGATATTTTAATAAAACTTTCAGAAATTAGTTTCCAATGATTCTCAACAATACGAAATGCAGATTTCCCAGAATTTCGGTTTCTAAAGTTGTTAAATGTGGTCAATCTTTCCTGTAAAAAAAAAAAGATGTAAAAATTGGGGCCAGGAATTGTGTAATTTATCAAGCAACATTCCTTGTGCTGGGGCAAGACATAAGTGATTTATAGGATAAACCCTATATATTTTAATATTAATTACCTGCTAGTTAGCGCTAGTTCTTGCACCTTGCTCAACGCATCACCAATTTTTGGTGGTCATAAAACGTGCAACATAATTTCCTTTAATTAATTTAAAGTAGTTTAATAATTTTTGTAACAGATTTCTTCAAAAATCAATATCACAATTTTTCAGATCTCTCATCGCATCACGACGTCCCACCCTCTTTGGTCGCCAAGGCAACGAAAGCGTTTCTCTGGCTTGTCGAGATCTCCGTACCGCTCGTGGGGCTTTTTCACTTCGTCCTTTTGCTTATCGTTCCGTGCACGCCGCCCTTTATCCTCTCCATGTCGGCGTCTTGCAGCGCAGATTCGCACAATTCTTTCGTCCGCCTTGTCATCCACTTCTTTGAATCGTGGATGTTAACACACACGGTTTACGCGGCGGATTTATTCATCCTGTTCGTCTTCTGTTGCGGAATCGTGTCCCTGCTGACGTACTACAGGATGATGCAGAGGTAGTAGAAAAAAATCGACTTTTTACGAGGGGTATTCCAAAAGTAATGAGTAAATTGGCTTTCAATGAGTTGTTATCATTAGATACATAATTTTCAAGTCACCCTTTAACGAGAGGTAGTCCATAAGTAATGCACGAAGCAATTTTTAATGACGGGCGATCCATAAATAATGTGTTAATAGATATTTTACTAGGGGTAATGGATAAATAATGTCCGCCGTGTTAACATATTGTTCAAATTTGTTACTCATAAGCTGCGAATTTCTATAGAGTTTGATTTATTTTATGGCATACCTACGAAGCACTGAACTATAAGAAACTACAACGTGTGACAAATTCAAGAAATTGGCGCCACATGATATCTTCCCATGCACTTAACTATAGTGATTTTCCCATAAATGGCAATCATTTCTAGCATTTGTTTCGTTCCTACAAGGAATTGTAACCCTCTGAAAAACTGTCTCTGTTTTTTACAAAATTATACAGAATTATAAATTTTCAAGAAACTCGACCACTCTGAAGCCATCAACTCCTCCATCCACCTGTACCGATGCGTCCACCTACTAGAAAAAGGCATCAATGACTTCATCCAACCCCGCGTCCTACCCGGGATAGTCTTTTGCGTCCCAGGAATTCAAATAATCGCGCAATACATCACGATCAATCACCACGCCGACATCGCGATGCCGGGTTTTCTCGTGTTTCCCGTCCTCCTCTTGAACGCGGTTATTTCAAACATGCTCCTCCTCACGTTGGCGTCCTTCGTGCACAAGAATTCGACCAAACTGCTCCACAACTTGGCCTCAAAATGGGTCGACGGTCGGACCAAGCGGGGACGGGCGACGCGGCGAGAGATAAAATCCTTGACTACGATGAAGATTAAATTCGGATCGAATTTTGTCGATCGCCAAACCCCACTTATTATTCAAACTTTCTGTATTAATCAAACCGTGTCGCTCACACTGATCAAGGCGACCTAGTTCTCGGACATGACAACTAACTTGAAAACAGATGGCTTAAAGATAGCATAATTTAATTAAGATGTTAATTTATTAAATCATAAAATTTCCATGCATGATTTCGCCTATATCAAGAGTCAGGCAATTAATTGGTTCTGTAGTTATTTACTAAAATATAACACTTAAAATGACTTAAACCATCACCATCACCCGCCTAAGCAATATTTTGCAATGCTCTCTTTTTTTATTTATAAATGATCAACGATATATACATATGTGCATACGTCGTGAGATTTATCAAACTGATGTGACGTCGAATAATTTAAAAAATCACAATTTTTATTATCTCAAAATTTCAATTTTTTAAATGAAAAAGTTAACTTTTTAACAACGACGTGACATCGGTTAGGTACACAAATTTTGTACTTTTGGGCAACATATAAAGCAAAAATGGTCTCTGTAATCCCTACCCAAAAATTGATCGAAGTAATTACCCCACCGGGGACAATTTGTTTCCCAATTTTTAAGAGTGTATTTACATACATGCCTGTATCTTACACATACATATGTACATATTTGCATATATATGCGCACTGGTTAGTAAATCCTTATTAACTAGATATCTATATTAATATGTACCAATTAAGACATACATATGTACAAAAATCTCGCTAAACGACCCAATTTTACACACACGTAGAAAAAATATGTATGTCCGTAGATCGAGTTTTTTAAACGTTGACACGTTTTCTTAACAAACCAGTTTTGCATATTTATATATGTCACCCGAGATCATCATCAAAAAGCAATATGCATACCTGCACACATATAATTTAATTGGACCACTGTAATAAATCTTAGTTTCCAAGCAGACTTGGCAGGATCCGCTTGTGCAGATTCATTACTTATGTGCGAACTTGATTTATTTATTGTTTTATGAAATGAGCAATAAAATAATGTAGCATGAATCAAGTTATTTGTTAATTACGAATTAAAGTGTCAAAAGTTAGTTTATGAAGTGTTCTGCTGACATTAATTACTTATTTGAGACAAATAAATACATACAATACTAGGAAAGAAATATCATGGGTTATGTTAAAGGAATCTCGTTCGTCCTCCTGTGGTACATTGGGTAAGGTCAATTCATTAAATTTTTTTTGCACATAAGTATTTACATATTTTCGTAAGTTTAGCAGAACAGTGAAATGTTGCCAAATTCGGGAGATTGTGCAAGATATTTATTGGAAAAAATTTAATTTACTTGTCCCAAATTTTTGAACCCAGAACTTAAACTTGTTCCAATTTCCCAAAATTATTTCGCAAACTTTGTATTTCAATAAACAATGGAAATTTTGATAATTATGTACAATCTAAATAAAACTATGGGCCCGGTTTGCTTATAATTATATTTTGCGAATCGAATCCTCCTGAGCTGCGCAAATTATGTAAATGAGCTGCCATACAAAAATGATGCGTTGTTGTGCCGAATACGCGTAAAATTAGATTATTTGTGTTACAACTTACTTATGTATAAATAAAAAGTTATGAATTTTTTAAAATTTCAGGATAATTTGGTCCGTAATCTATATTTACGCCCCTTTCTTCATCATACTGCCATTCAGTAGGAAATTGTACCGAAAAGCGACCGATATTAGTAAGTGTACACTCTAAATAACTTAAATGTAGAATGAGAACTAAAATTAAGTATTATTTTATCCGCAGTTTTATCCTGTTGGGAAATGTATCCTGTAGTAAGTGTTTACAAAATCCTTTAATAAACAACCTCAATAAGGGTATTCATTCCGAGTTCGAATCGCAAATACATACTTTCTTTTTACCAGCCTTCAAGTTCACGAATCCGTGTTTAATTTAATTGCTTTTGCAACGTTGCTAAATAAAAATTTTGCGGACGTTCCTAAATCCATAATCGTGCAAACTCTGAGTGAATGAATGGCACATAAATGACTTATCTTTGTACCATAGTCGCTCTTGCAATTGATGATGGGATGTCGGATCTGTCTCTCTGGAGATGAAATTGATCCCGCCGAAAGCGCCATTATCATAATGAACCATCGAAATCGGTATTAATAAAAAATAATTGACTGATTATTTTAATTGATTAGTTTACCATGACAAATTAATTGATAGGCTGGACTGGTTTTTCCTATGGGCCGCACTTCTACATGGCTGCAGAAGCCCAGCACATCGGTGCAAGTTTGTCTTAAAATCTTAGTAGGGCAAAAAATGTTTAAAAATTGAAATTGAAATTGGAAAAAAATTATGAAATTTTATGGAATTTTTTTAATCGGTTTTGATTTGATTTTAATTAAATCCAGTGTTCGTTGGATTCCAGGGATTGGCTGGGGCCTACAAATGGCCGGATTTCTCTTTCTTCACAGGTATTAAAATAAACAAATAAACAAATAAACAAATAAACAAATGCAAACAAGTGAACTCTACGCAAAATTATGTTTTCGCAAAATGCAAAGAGGTTTCCCACGTTTAAACCATTTAACATTTTCTCCACAGAAATTGGAAGAAGGATAAAGAATTTTTGAAAAGAGCGCTGGATTACTTTAAGGAATTGGGTGAGAACTACCTGGTATGAGTATTATCATCATATTTAGAACAGACTTATTTAAGTATTTGGTATAGCAAATTATTCATAAATATTTATTACCTTGTGTTCCTTTAGATTCTCATATTTCCCGAAGGCAATCATTTATTTGACGCCACCAAAAAGAAAAGTAACGCCTTCGCCAGAAAAACAGGACTACCCGGGTACGATTACGTACTACATCCGAGAACCACTGGGTTTACTTTTCTTGTCCAACAAATGCAGAAAAGTAGGCATATTTTTAATTTGCGTCTAACTTATCTGTCTGTTTACCTGATCCATTAATATCAAAGTGGTGGGTGTTTGCACCGATAAAAGTATTGAACGGTTTCTTTAAGCAAAATTTAATAAAAAATATGCGCCATCTAGCGAGAAATCAGTAGAATTAAGTTTGCAGCAGGTAACACGCGGGTAATCTCCTATTTTACTAACAGATTCCCGGCTCGACGCGGTCTACGATCTAACCATTGCGTACCCGAAAACCCTTCCCATAAATGAGCTTGACATCCTCAGCGGGAAAGTTCCAGAAGAAGTCCATTTTAATATTTCTCGCTACGCGGGTGACACCCTACCCCGGGATGAGCAAGGCATCAAAACCTGGTGTGAGGAACGCTGGGCCGAGAAAGAAGCGTCCCTCAAGAAATTTTATTCTGAAAGGAATCCCGATCGGAGGAGATTATCGCCCAAAGTGAGGTTCGCGAGACCATTAAACGCAATGTTTCTTGCCGTCGTGTCCTGGACGGCGGTCACCGTGTTCACTACCTACCTCACTTTCTACACTACGTGGGGTTTTTATTACACGTGTTTTTCCATATCAGGGTTTCTCTTAGTTTCCTATTTTACTTATGGCATTCAAAACTTTGAACTTGACCTGTTTTACAAATATGACTACCATAATGAATCAAAGTGAGGGTCCATAACGCGAAATATCTATGAATGTATTTACAACTAAACAGATGAATAACAAGACTTAGAAATAATATTGAGTTATAATCTTTCGTTAAAAACAAACAACTGAAAACTAAATGTAGCAAAGTCGTGAAAACAAATGGGATACTGGTTTCTTATGTATGTCTTCTTACATTTATCAACTCGTAAAACGGGCCAAACAAAATTATGGCCCACCGTGACCTTGTGATCTACAACGGATATGTTTGAACAGCTAACTTATCCCTTCAGAAGAATTCGAAAATGGTAAAGACTCAAATTCATTAAATTCAATTTGGGGAAATTCAATTACACTCTAAAGTTATCCTGGATGCAGAGGGACGGACATGTCATATTTTACGTGAAAATCCGGCCTGAGTACCCGGCTTATTACCTCGGTAATCATGACCAAAATAAAAATGCAGTTCCAATGTTATATTAAGTAATCATAAAATTACGTATTTATTTACAAATTCAACCTAGAAATTTATTACATTTCTATGCATTGCTGCAACTGATTAGCAAATTGCAAATCGTCCAACTCCCGGACAAACGCTCGTGCAATTTCTTCCGCTTGACCAGCACGCGGGAGAAGATTTCGACTCGCAAAAACCCCCAATCTCAAAGAGTCTCCAAGCGTAATAAGCACAACGCCAAGTCCTAAAAAATTGGCATATGCAAATTCATACTTCGAACTACATAATTTTTGCACAATTTGCAAAAAACTTACCCGCATATCCGACATAAAATCCCGTCATGTTGAACACGTCTTTGGCCAAGTAGCCACAAAAATTCGGTTTATCCAATGGACCCGCTAGATTTCCAATGAAAATCCGCTGATATCCGAATTGCCTTTTGTTTATTTCCTGCAAAACGCGGCGCGGGACGGAGGCCAGGGTGTAAAAAAGTATGGCCCGAGTGAGCGGGAAAGTTGATTTTTTCATCTCTTTTAGCGCTTCCTGGGTGCGAATTAGTCGTTTGAGAGGATCCAGCTCTCCAATCGGGGCCGTGTAATTACCCTTCGTTCTAAAATTAATGGCATAATCAAGTATGCATATTTTGATTGGGGGAATGCATAGGATAGAGCTCGATGGATATTATTTTTTGGGGGGCAACAAAATATTTTTTAGGAATTGTGGCGGAATTTACAAATTCGACAATTTTCAACTGGAATTAAGTACTTACGTGTGTCAGGTTGAATGTATGAGGAAATACAAGAGTTTAAGGGGCAACCCGAGAATTTTGTCGAAAAACAAGAAAGTTGGATGCATATCTCGGTGTGTGTTCTATGTGTATACGGTAGTCTTTTTGGGGTAATAGTATATTTTTCAGAAATTTGGCAGGATTAAAAGAAACCTGATTTCAATTATCGTTTCCCCGTAAATTAATTTTATGCGTATGGACTTGTGAAATATTTTCAGATATTTTCTGGGGAAAAACGAGAATTTTTTTGAAAGCAAAAAATCATAATTCTCTCATCGCCCCCAAAAACTATACTTTAACTCACATATTATTCCCCAAGGGTCTCTCCTTCCTCCATGGCGGATGCAGATTCGTCTCCACCATAACAGTCGCGGAATGTGGGGTCCCTTCCGGAAAAAATGAGCTCCTCATCGCCCCCAAAATTGCTGAGTGCATGACCGCCGTCCCAGTCACGCCATGCTGCGCCCCCACCTGACGAATCCGGCTGAACGGGATGGGCTCACAGATGTGAAAACGGAGATGTGAGGCTGCTTCCGACGGAGTAAAGTTGTCGCCAAGGGAAGTCCAAGACTAAATATCGAAGGATCAAAGTAGAATATTTAAATGTGGGAGCGGGTGCCTCAAATTCAGCTATTTTGACCAAAAATACAAAATCCAGCCACGTTTCTAACTAAGTCTCTATTATTATCCTACGGGAACTTTCATATATTACGTCCTCAAAAATTTGGGTAGGTGGCTTTTGACCGCTTATTTAACTGGTGTAAAATTGGGTGGCTGGTCTAGAAAAGGGCGTTTCTTCAATGACGTAATATATGCACGGTCTCTGTTTACTACCCTTCTTGATAGCAAGTACCGTCAATTTCTTATAGTTTATTTGTACAATTGTTAAACAATTAAAGAATATTTAAGTATGTACACTCTTAAAAATCATGTTATCCTTTTGAATGTTCAATGCACTATTAAAAATGATGCCACAATTTTTAACAGTGTATCCAAATGTGAACTGATCTTGTTAAAAACTCACCTTCGTATCTGGGACCAAACACCCACTTCGGGATCCTTCCCGACACGTGGCCACAAAGTCGTACGGCATCCCTAAATATCGCACGGGCGATCTGTTCATCGCTGGCGGGATGGTGCAAGTTTCTTTCTTTCCCAATTTCCCCTTACTTTGCGGGAGCGCCATCTTTCTAAACATGTGAAACACCCCGTTCCCATCGGTCATGGTGTGATGGAAGCGAAATATGACGAGCGAAGAGGGCGCCACTGTGGGGTCGTATTTCCTCCGAACGATGACAATTTCCCATAAGGGCTCCCCTTCTTTGAAAGGTTGGAAGGTCAGGCTTATCTGCAGTTCGAGCAGTTGTTCTGGAGTCACATCTGTATCGAAATTGGTATGTGAGTTTAGGAATATAGATTTTTAAAAAAATTAACTAAATGAAGTAAAATTGTGAAAAAATTGAAATAATTAATCGAAAACCTTCACTGTACAGAGGGTTAGTCAACATTATGGAACCTGTCGCTCTTAGCCCCATATACATACATTAAACGACTGGAGCTAATTTCAAAATCTCTGCTAAACCTGCGTAAATGGAGATCGTATCTTTTGAAAATTTCACATTAAGTGAATTTATGATCGATGAAGGCTAAGTTGGTGAAAATTGGAAAGCACACGTTCTACCGATTGCACAACCAGACAGACAGACAGAACATTCCCATTAAAGGGATTCACTCTTCCTATTAAATAGCAATCCTTCCTAACAAATGGAAATACATAAGTGTGCTACCGACCTTCAGGAATGAATCGAACTCGATCCTCAACAATTCTCGATTTGGCCCAAAATGGGTGTCCCATAAACGTTTTGATTGTCCACCCTAGTTCCGGATAGAGCAAGCGATTCCCCACCTTTGCCTCGAGCACTTGCTTCCTCCAAGTCTCCCGGATGTGGTTCGGATCCACCTCCCCCTCAACTTCTAGTGTTGAAACCATCGAGGTTATGGGAGATGTGTAGATACGATCGTACGAAAACCTGGCATCACTCGGGGTCAAGATTGTGGTCAGATCTCGTCGGAACTACATATTTCCGAAACAAGATTATGATTTAATTTTCTGTTATTTTTCCCATTTTTAAGTAAAACTAGGGGAACGTAATTGATTCCATTTTTTAATTTATTTTTTTAAAAACCTGATGTCTGACAAATTTTCGAAGTACATAAAAAATCAAACACAACGGGGTATATAGGAAAATAATTTTCAAAGTTCTGCAAACAAACAAGTAGGCTTGGTCGAACCCTAACTTTGAGAATGCTTAATTAAACACGCCGATTTCAACGTAGTAAAGAAAACTATGACTTCATTTTCCCCTTATTTTCACATTCTCAAAAACTAAACAATTCTGGAAAAGAAACAAGTTTTGATAGTTTTTAGTAAATACTCTGCCCGAATCCGAATTTTTTCCGACTCGAAATCGGGATTAGCAAAACTGTTCTGACTAGGATTCAACAATCTCTAATTGTTATTAATTAATCTCTAATCCCTTTCATTTTTGTAAATTTTGAAGCAAACCAGGAATTTTTTGAATTACAAAAATTCACTCTTAGTTTACCAGCCACGCCACAATTCTGACAAAACAGCGATACAAATGGAACGGCAGCCAGGCCAAGAACAGCGGGGGGATGAGAAGCCACAACGGCAAGTATAAACACGTCAAGAAAGCCGACCGTTTTCTCATCGTCAAAAAATGTAAAAAGGAATATGTTTCTCGGACAAAAGTCTAACAATAACTGAAATCTAATTCGAGACGATCCACCACAAAATAGATAGAATGACTTTTATTAACCTTCAACAAGTTTCTACGACGTAAGTATTTTCCTGATTTCAAGGGCAATTAGGCGCAAATTGTGAAAAAAATGTCACTTCTGTCTGGAACGGGAGGGGAATACTTGCTTGATAATTCAGCGAGATGTGTTAAACAAAGATGTCTTCCTGGCAGACGGACGACACAATTTTTACATACAAGGTTTGGATCTCACGGTCAGTTATTTACATATGTATGTGCATACTTTAGTTATTATTAATTTAGATTACTTATACACTTAGCTGCTTAATATGCATATTGTACATTTGCATAGGTAGATTGTTTGTCGCGAAGAAGAAACCAGTTTATGTCTGCTTATTAAGTGATATTTTTATTTTTTGACAAATCATTTACTTGATCTTGACTTGATCTTCCTCGAAGAAAAGTGTCTTTTGTAAGTTACATTTCCTTTAATTAGATCATTCGAAACAGATATTCCCAGTCTTTGTTCCAAATTTCTGAAAATTTGAGACAAATCCCAGAAAAATGGGGGGTGAAAAGTAAACGAAAAAATATATATTGCGAGTGAAATGAAGATTCCTATTTAATCTTGGATTTTTATTTAAAAAACCTGCATTGCCAAATTAAGTAAGGCAAATCAGATAACGAGGGGAGTTCATGTATTATGTTTTTCGTTTAGTGATATAAGTAGACCTGATTAAATCCATGGGTTTGGACAGATTTGTACATATTTAATGTACACATGCTCCGGAAGTGGGTATGATGGATGTCGCTCAGTTGGAAAAAGTCGCGCAGGGCGACTTTTATGAGTGGGAAGACTACACATAATTTCTGAACCTTCCTTGCCCTCAAAGAGAATAAATTTGTATGCATAAATCAATCTGTAATCTTTTTACTCTACACCTACCACTTATTGTCAAGCATAATCCTACAAGGGAAACTTATCCCTGTCAAGTCTGGATTTTCCCGTCACACTATACAAATATAGGTGCATAGTCTCATTTGCGTGATAATTTCATACAGTAAAGTAAAAAAGCTTGATATCCTGCAAAGAAATCGATCGAAGTAGCCATTTTTATACGACCGCTGTGCAATTTTTCTTCGCAGGAACAATTAACGTTAGCGACCAACGCTGACATGCTCAAATTATGAAGTCGGAATTTTCTCAAAAACTTTTATTACTGAATTTTAGAAATGGGTTTTCCTACATATATAAATATGTATGGCTTTAAAACATTAAGTTTTACATAAACTATTACTCAAGCTACAAATTATAAAATAATGTTCCTAAAGAAAATTATATTTAGCATTCTATCTTTAAGTTGAAATATGAATCCCACTTCATTCCTAACTTTACCATAGAGGTTTTCCAGCACTAAATCCTCATTCCAATTAATTTAGGAAAAAATCCCGGTCCAACAATACAACGCGGTTCCCTTGTCAACAATGTCACTGTAGGAAATCATTCCATCAATCAATCATTCATCCATCCCAATCCGAATACCAATAAATGTAAGTATGCAGCATTAGTTATGCATGTATGCAAAACATGTCTAGTATGTAAAAATAGGAAAAGTACATACATCCACCAGAAACCAGTTTACATTTTAATTGACTCAGACAAATAAAAGGCTTATCTACACAAACATACTTATTTGTGTAGGTGCATACGACTGCATACTAATAAATCTCACCAGTTAAGGGTTTCCACCTCTTTACAGGTGTCGAACCAGTTTCTGCACATGCACTATGGGCCAGGTTTTATGAATTGTGGCCAAAAATATATATCGGCCAAAGTCGAAGTCATAAAAATAATTCCTTGCGTACAAATATCAAGTAATGTATGGGGTATCTGATTCAATGTTTAGTGGCAACCTGGCATACCCCCCAGGGGGTGTGCCAACGCTTTTTTTTGGTCCAACTAAACCTAGGCTTGCGACCTGTCATTTTTCATGAAAATATGTGGGGATTAGGATGCAAAACAATCAATTCAAAACCACACCCAGGGGGTGTGGCCATCAAGGCCTTTTTCAGTCTAACAATATATTATGTTTATGTTTGCCGTTCATTTGGATCCTCATATATATATCCAAGAGGAAAGATTTTTCGGATGCTTGGTTTACTTACGACAAAGAGTCGTCGACGGTCATCCCCATGAATGGGCGTGGTTTTTAAAGTTCTTGTTCACCATCATCATCCCCACAAACCCCAACCAGAATGAAATGTCACATGGCTGAATTTACCTATACATGTATAGATACATATATGTATATTAAAAAATCGTCAATGGCCACACCCCCCGGTGATGTGATTGTTAAATTTACTGTTGTCCATAATATTCTCCTTATTAAGCCAGGAAGAATGATATATCGCATACCTATGTCTTCCTAAAATAAAAATGTTGATGATGCCCACACCCCCCAGGGGCCTATGCAATGATCCTGAAACTTTCGCCCAAAATACAATTCGGTTGCAATTTATTAATTTGTATGTCATTTATTATTGCCTATGATCTTACCAGCTAAGCATGATCAAAACATGATAAGCAGATCACAAATCAATTTGTGGGCGTGGCAGGAGGTGTGGTCCATATATTACTGATATAACATTGGAAACTTACGAAATTGAAAATTGAAAATCTCATAAGATGGTTTGGTCTAAATCAAACGATCGCTGAGGACCACACGCTCTCGAGGTTCGTAAACTAGAATTATTCGATTAGAATAATGATGCTCATCGAATTGAAAAAAATAATATGTCACAGCCTACAATTTCGTCGAAATCGAAAAGTCGCACAGGACCACAACCACTGAGGGCGTGATTCTTGAATTTGAATTATTCGATCAGAATCCCCTCATCGAGCTGAGAAAAATGATATGCTACACGACGTGGTTGCTAAGATTTACGAGTGTGTCGCCAACCACACCCACAGGGGGTGTGGTTTTTTAAAAGTTCAATTACCGTTCCGTGATCGCCTTGATTTACTGGGAAAAATGATATGTCACATGCCGTATTATAATTGGGTATTGACCGAAGCGCCAATAGCCACTCCCCCCGCCCCCTGGGGGTGGAAGTCAAGGTCATATCGACAAGATAATGGCCGTTGACAAGATTATATGGACTGGCGACGTTTAATTTAGGGAAAAATATAGGAAGAAAATGTTTTGCTGTTGAAACACTTTGAGAGTGTTGTGTGACCACACCCACAATGACGCCAATGCAAGGGGTGTGACCAACTAATCGCCGAGTATGACGACCTGAATGTTTCAAGCATTGCCGCCAAGAATTGGCGCCCAGTTCTATCGTAGAATTTTCAAATTTGTCAGTTATATCAACTCGCGCCTCGAACTTATTAATGGCCACAATTTATGGATCCTGGCCCATAGTGCATGTAATAAAAAGTGCACGTTGCAATAATAATGGCTTTTCAGACCTACGTAGTAAATAGCTCAACTCACTTGGTGTTATCCGACACGAGCATTTTTTTTTCCTGCCATGCTGCGGAATAAACCAGTCTGATTGAAAAAAAACGACAGATGACACGAATTTTTCGTTAGAACGATACATAAATACATATTTATGGTAATGGACATGATTTATATGGCGAGTGGTTATCACCTGGTTTTTTTTCTTGGGCTAGCTCTAGAAATTCTTTACTAAAATGTTCTCCCCCATTCTGTACTTTTCCAAGTTTAGATTACACACGTGTACACTCTTAGAAATGTAGTATTAAAATAATACCAAGCAGTATTCACACACAAAACAAAACTTTGTTAAATCAACACCGCCGGTTTCACTGTATGACGTAACCGCCTTGGTTACAATGTTGAATCTGAGTTATGATGATTTTGATACCGGTAGTGATAAGGTTATGACCGGACGGAAAAGTTTCATCACCACTCGGAATCACAATTGTAACCAAGGCGGTTAAGTCACATACATATTGACACCGGTGGTGTTGATTTGACAAATTTTTGTTTTGAGTGTGTGATTCTACCGTCGTCGTTATGTATAAAGTTGTCATCGAGTGATTACAATTGTCACCGACTAATTATAAATTTTCACTGACTTCGTATTAAATTGCCACCAGAGCTAGGAAATTTATAACCAGTTCGTGACAAATTTGTAACCACGGCGGTAGAGCCATACATATATCTGTACGTTTGGTTTTTGGTAATAATCGTACCCCTACTTCTAAGAGTGCACATGTCTTTTGGTACAGAGCGTTATCTAAGGTAATACATATATTTTTTTCAAAAACCCTGTTTTTTAAAGCGTTTTTTCCCTTCAGCTCGGAAAATCATGTTCTTCAAGCGAACCCAGTCTAACCCGATTTGAATTTCAAGTATTTTTAAGTGTTCATATAGATACCTGTTCAAAAAAAACATTTTTTTCAAAAGCGAATCGTTCCGATGTCTGGTTAAAGATTTGCATTCAAATTTCGTCATTTTCTTCAAGTTCATTTCATTTCACTTCACTTTACTTCATCGGATTTCATTTCTTACTTCGTCCCACGTGTTAAGCACAGGGTGAAAAATTTGAAATGACAGAATTCTCAAGTCCTTTACATGCCAACGAGGGGAAATTCAGTTTCATTCACTATGTATCATACTCAGTCAAATGAATGAAAATGAACAGGTTTGTATGGCCAAGTGCAGTTTCTATACATACTTATGTAGATTTCGCAGAACTGCATTTAACACGTTAAATATTTAGGAATCTTGAACCACACTACTTTCCCCGGATCACTTCGCAACCAACCCGGAATCTGTTTCGGGTATTTTGCGAGCAACAACTCCAGCCGAGTATTAGCAAGTCAGTCTTCAACATGTGTAACAGTCCAGCTGCTTTTTAACACACACGACTTTTGTGCACGAAAACAAGTCAAAATATTTCTTTCGAAAATTTTCCTGTAACATTAAATGGACATGGAACTGAATTTTGTAG